GTACACAAGCCACGGTTAAGACAGCTGACTCCACTGTGATGTGTCTCGCTCTCTCTCTCGCTCGCGCGCATGCGCGCACACACACACACGCACACACACCGCTTGTAACACTCCAAAGAGAAAGGAAAACTTGAAATTGCATCATATGACCCCTTTAATAGAAGGAAAGGTTTGCGTGCATTCATATTGCGTTCTGCAAGTGAACGTCGCTTTATTGTGCCATCCAAAAGAGGCACAAAATCACTTTCCCGGACTCTTAAATTAAATGTTCCCTCCTGGTGGAATGACCTGCCCAGTGCCCAACTCAATCCGAGCAGCTGAGTCCTTAGCCATCTTCAAGAATCGGCTAAAAACACATCTCTTCCATCTTTTTTTGACCCTCTAACTCTAGCACTCTCTATTCTAATACTATTTTAAAAAACTAACACTAGCTCTAATCTCTAATTTCTAATCTTTTTTTTATTCTATTTGTTTTCTTTTTCTTTATTATACAATTATCAAAAGCAAAAAAGGCCTCTAACACTAGCTTGCTCTATTCTTTTTCTATTCTATTTGTTTTTCTTTTTATTTATTGTTAGAAAACACTCTCTGTCTTGAGAATGCCTCACCCCTCCTTTTTCTCCCCTCTCTCTTATTCCCCCTCCTTTCTTTCCCTCTCCCTCTCACTCTCCCTCCTCTATCTGTTCTCTCTCTCTTGTATGGTGTTTTAATGTCTCTTACTCACATTCGAGCTATGCATGCGCAAATGTATACATTAGCTTCTCTTGATTCAAATGTCTGAATAAGGACATGATAGCTAGGAATGAGGTTTGTGATGAAACCATGAAGATAGTTTAGCCTCCTTCGCAAAAGTCTATTCCTAATATGTCCATGTTTTTCTGTTCATATGGCCATTTTATATAAACACATATTCTTGGCCAAAGATCCTATATGTATGTCATCTATATCCTCATTGGTTAAAGGGTTGAAACTCCCCTCGACATATGCCTATATAATATCTTTGTATCTATGAATAAAGTTGAAGTATTGAGAATACATATGAATGTGTGTTTTCTTACTTCCCGGCCGTTATATCCACTTTGAGGGATTGAGAATATCTGAGGTGGCAAAGAGAATCTAGAGGGACCGTTGTTAATGATTTCTAACATTTATTATATAATTTTAAAAAACCTTGCTATGTGTACTGCGTTAAGCTAACTGAGACTTGTTATAGCACTTGCATATCATTGCTCTTTTTTTTATTTTGATTGCTTCTATTGTCCTCATTTGTAAGTTGCTTTGGATAAAAGCGTCTGCTAAATGACTAAATGTAAATGTAAATGTAAATGTAATTCATATTGTGAGCATGTCCAATTGATTTTATTAACCTCATAAATATGCAAATAACATTACCCCAGGAGGATAAAAAAGTATGTGTAACGTCAGCATGCAAAATATATGCAGGTTCACAAAGGAATGGCATGCATGTGAATTCATGGCCAGCGGACTCACAAGAGCGTGTCAATGATGCCATGTGCAGGTCAAACATTCACTTCTGGATTTCTTTTAAAAATACAGAAGGAACAAAGAACTTCATCACATTCAAGCTTCCTCCTCAAAGTTCTACCGGACAGTTGTTGCTTTTAAATATGATTTCGCTCACAGGGCAGTGTATGTTTACTATTCAAGTGTAATTTTAGCAGCCTGAGGTCCAGCTGGTGTGACATTGGTGCTGCTTCTTTGACCTGATACTGACCTCAAACAAGATGACAAACCCCTTCTGCAGGTCAGAGCTCACCAGACAGCTCTCAAGTTTCCTCAATCACATGATCTTCTCTTTGTGCAGCCTTTGCAAATCAGGGCCAATGAGAAAACATGATTAAAAATTGCTATAGGTTTCAAGGTCCCTGAGTCAGCAGAAAAAAGAAAAGCAGAGTAGACACCGTGAATCACTCTGGGAATGGGAAGGAAACACCCTGATTTTGAGCAGGTGTGAAGAAACTAACTAGACCGGCAGGGCAGAAACAACCAGCCTAATGTTCTTGTATCTGCGTGCACACTGACCATATCCATGTTCGCATCAACACAATGTATTCTGTCATTGCACTAAATTCATTGTTCTGTACTGTTTGCATGTTGTATTGTATATTGTACTGCATTGTGTGTAATAATAATGGAAGCAATTCACCATGAAAAACTAGTTCACCCAAAACCCTCAGTCCATCCAAGATTTGTTTGTTTCTTCATCGGAACAGATTTGGCGAAATTTAGCATTACATCAGCTGCTCACCAGTGGATCCTCTGCAGTGAATGGGTGCCGTCAGAATGAGAGTCCAAACAACTGATAAAAACATTCCAATAATCCATAAGGAATCCACACCACTCCAGTCTATCAGTTAATGTATTGTGAAGTGAAAAATCTGCATATTTGTAATAAAATGTGCTTACTCCAGCTAAATTAATAGTCCTAATAAAGTAATAGTAATAATAATAATTAAAAAAAGTATTCTCGTCTGAATCAGGAGAGAAATATGCACAGATCAAGCACAGTTTACAAGCAAAAAATTTTGATTTGAGAGGAGAACAGGGGATGGACTTTTTCCAATGTTATGGATTATGTACACGTATTTTGGCTTGAAGTTATGGTGGATGAGGGATTTGTTTCTTACAAACACTTCAGCTCTTCACAAGACGTTAATTGATGGACTGGAGAGTTGTGGATTACTTGTGATGTTTTTATCAGCTGTTTGGACTCTCATTCTGACGGCACCCATTCACTGCAGAGGATCCATTGGTGCACTAAATTTCTCCAAATCTGTGGAATGTAATTAGTAGAATGGACTGCAAGTAAACATTAAAAATGTGGAATGTAGTGAGCAAAATCTGGAACGAAATTAAAAATGGAATGTATGCAGAATTACTCTAATTAGAAAACAATGGATATATCTAGAAAATAGACTGTATTTGGTAGTAGAATGGAATATTATAAGAAATAGGTAGAGTAATTAAAAACCGGAATCCTATTAGAAATTGGTTTAATTAACTGTACATATAACAATTAATTAAAAAAAGATAATGGAATGAATGAAACTGTCAGAATGAAATAGAAAAAGACAATAGAATGGAATTAATAATGTAATATTGATAATATTCGGTTAAATTCATTAAGTAAGGGATAATCAACGGTTTGTCATGCATTAAAGGATTTTAAATGCAAGACGTGGAGGCCAAGAACCACCCGACGCGATTGATTTTCTTGATTTTTAGTCTGTTTATAAAAATAAATAATATATTAATATTATTAATAAATATAAAAACAAGTAAAATACAAAAATAAAACGTAAAAAAAAAAAAAAAAAGATTACATATTTTGTTTACCTGCGTGTCATGTGACCATTAACCGAGATCAGAAACCGTAAACTTTTAGGTCAAATAGGTTCGGCTGACAGAAAGTTTGGGAATCATTACCTAGTCCATTAAATGCTGTAAAAATGCTGTTCATGGTCCGTTCGTGATACATGGTCAATTAAATAAAGTTAATAAATTGACCCCTATTGTAAAGCATCACCATAACTTGGCCTTATATGTAACCATTAGCATAACGAATGTATCAGTAACCAGTAATTAGTGACAGAGCATCAGATGTCACTCACCAGTGCTGCTCCACTCGTCGCTCGTGGCCATGAACTCCAGATATACCGCCAGTAACGCCACAGTCAGCACCGCACCGAACACAATGTATCTGCCGTTGCGCTTGAATTTCCGCACGGGGAAAAAGTTGAGCATCATCTTCAAGTGCTTCAGGCTCCGTGTGGTTCACACAAGTTGAAAATCGCTGTAAAGATCATCGACACACGCTTTCCCGGTGGAAAAAGCCGATGTCGCGTCACACTGGTTCACATTTCCTCCTCTGTGATTCAGCGTCTGCAAGTGTCCCTCACACATCAGTGCGCGCACAGGTTGAGGAGGCCACGCCCTCTGCGTGACGTCGCTGCTCCTGAACAGGTACAACAGAGGTAAACGCGAGTCTACTAGATATGGAGCAATATATCCAAGCTATTTCATCTTCAATCAACTACAAAGCTCTTAAGACGGTAAATCTGTGCTGCCTTTTCATTTGTTTAGTTAAAGAATGCGATGTAGGCCTATTATGTCGAGATGTAGTTTTTTTATTGTTTTGTGTCATTTATACATAATTGGTATATAATGTATATACATGTATAGCTTTTGTGATGCTTTGGCAATAAAAAATAGCATTAAAAAACATTTAAAAACAAGCTATCCTTACATTTATTAACATAAAAACACCCCTTAACAGGTTTTTTTTTTTTTTACAATTTGCAAAACAAATGTTTGTGTGTGTGTGTGTGTGTGTGTATCATTAGCACAATATAAAAAAGAAGTTTTTAAATATTTAAATCGATATATTTTACACAGAGAGAGAGAGAGAGTTATCATAGCACAATAAAAAAAAATTGTATTGGAAAGGACTTATATTTAATTGTATAGATAGATAGATAGATAGATAAAATACTTGTTTAAATATTAAAGGCAGAAGGGATTAAAAAAAAACTTTTTTTGTCTCATTCATTTGGCTATACAATGTTAATGTTCATTATTATTGTCCTGAAAGTCTTTGCTTTTCCTGTTTTTTTTTTTTTTTTAATTTATGCTAATTCACAAGAAACTGGGATGATCTCCTAAAAGTCCATAGAGGACAAAGGAAAATGTCTGGATGTGCTGTGCGGCACATCTGATCTGGGTAAACCTGTGTGTCCTGCTATACTGCTGCTGCGGGTTGTTTTGCATGCAGGTTTATTTGTCTTCAGTGTCAATGGCGTTTCCAGCAGATGTGGCATGGGCCACACATTTGAACGTGAGACATGAAAGAAAGAGAGAGATGAGCTTAGCAGATACAAACAAGCATATCTGCCTGGGGACTTTACCATCCCCAATGACCAGTGTGTTACCAAGTGACACACTGCAGGCAGACATGAGGAAGATCTCCAATGTTCAAAGCCAGTGACATAAAATTACGCTTCGTTAGAGAAGCTTTGCATTTTCAGTAATGTAAAAATATAGGAGTTTGATTTAGGTTATGTAATAGTAGTTTACAATATTTTATTTAACCTTAAAATGTGTGCAATGCTATATATTTTTTTATATCAAATATATTTAAAACAGATACTCCTCAGTTAAGTAATTTCTGAGTGTCAGTAACTGTTCACATGTTTAGTTTGCTATTTTTATATATTAAAATGGAGTATGTTTTAATACCCCTGGTTTACATATTTGGGTCAAACATTTTGTTATTTTGCATGTTGTGTTTGTCTTTAAATATACAGACAATGTTTACTGTCATGTTCATATTCATATTTAGTAATAAAGAAAAACACACACGTACAAAATTTGTTTTCCACAATCAGGATGGAGACTTTTCATTGACTTCTGTTGCTTTTAGATTGTGCTAATGATAATCCTAAATCCAACCCTCACAGAAACCTTTGTGCATCTGAGATGTATATTATTATTTAGGCATTATGTAGTATGTGATTTAAGCCATTTCCTTATGGGGACCGTTGGCTGATCGCTACACTGTGGGTGATTTCAGGTTTTACTGTCTATTGGGTTTGATTTGGTCAGTGTTTCAAGTTCCACGCAAATGCACTTTACTAAAAAAAAGCTTGCATTGTGTAGCAATGCATTACTTGCTTTTTTCACATTTATTCTTATGTTATTGATGCTAGACTCTACTTATATTAGTTTGTTCTACCCTAATTAAATGCACCTGATCCAGCTAATCAAGTCCTTCAGGCTTATTTGAAAACTACATAGTATGTGTGTTGGAACTAAACTCTGCAGGGCTTGCGGCCCACCAGGAACTGAGATTGATACCCCTGCTCTACTCACTACAGATGCACTCTTACGCACCCTGCAGCTGTATTGT